CTTACATGTTGAACATCTGTGATCCTCTCCAGAATGGAAGAGTCATCACATACAGAGCATCAACTAGTTCCTGAACAGTGTCCTTCACATGCTGATATCCAAGAGAGGGAGTTCCACAGTCACAAGATGGAGGAATAGAAAGCAGTATTCAATGTTTACTTCAGATTAGCTCCACGTCAGAAATGAGCATGCTTGTCATATGTCTCTCTCCATAGAGGCTGAATCATCATGTTAATCACATAGCTATCATATGCCTCAAACAGTCCTGATGCTCTTCTAGGTAATCACACATCCTGTCATGAAGCTACAGTTGATCATGTTGGAAGAGGACATTCAGGGTTTTCCCAACAGTCAGCAAACTAAGAGATCTGAAGTTTCCTCTGTTCAGTTATTTTAAAGGTTAATCTGCAGGTTTCCAGAAGATAAAGAGATCCGGCAGAGATGGTTGTCGGCGGCTCAGAGAGAGGAGAACTCTCTGAGATCAAACTCTTTTCTCTGCTCCAAACACTTTGAGCCGTCTTGCTTCACTCTGAGCGACGAGGTTCGGCTGACTCTATCACCTGACGCCGTGCCGACCCTCATCCCAGAGGCAGGGCAGGAGGACCAGGTGACACAAGACACACGTTACCATTGAACATTATTCATAACATTGCACACGTTATAAAGCTTATACATTTTGCAGTGCATAAATCATCACTGCACGCCTATTTGAATCCGTCATCCTTCTTGATTTCCAGGTCCCTGTCCCTTCAGAGGAGGACTTCCTGTTCTCTCACAGCCTGGAAGACCTCCTCTCCAAAACCTCTTCTCCTCCTCCTTCCCCCATGGCGCTGCAGGAGCATCAGTACTGCCTCCAGGACCCAGAACCCACAGAGACGGAGCAGAAGAGGAGGTTCCTCAATGAGTCCAGCTTCAAGGTGTTCAACCACATCGCCAGGTACATCACATGACCCCTTTAAAGTGTTCCAAGATGCATTTTGTTCTGATTGAATGAAATGTTTTTGTTGCGTGCTGCAGGTATCTGAGCCACAGAACCTTACCGATGCAAAACAAGAAAGGCATAAGTAGTTTGAAAAGGATGACCAACCGCTTCGCGCTAAAAGGTGAGTAGAAAGAGTGATAACACTTATTTAATCCGTCAATCCTCAATTAACCAGATTATAGCAGCTGACTTAAGATAAATTACTTAAGAAGCAGAGGTGGGAAGTATTCGAGTACAAATACCTCGTTACTGTACTTAAGTATGTTTCTGGTATCAGAACTTTACTCCACTACTTATTTTTCTGACAACTTTTTACTTTGACTTCTTACATTTTGAACAAATACCTGTACTTTCTACTTCTTACATGTTGAACACAAATACCTGTACTTTCTACTTCTCACATGTTGAACACAAATACCTGTACTTTCTACTTCTTACATGTTGAACACAAATACCTGTACTTTCTACTTCTTACATGTTGAACACAAATACCTGTACTTTCTACTTCTTACATGTTGAACACAAATACCTGTACTTTCTACTTCTTACATGTTGAACTCAAATACCTGTACTTTCTACTTCTTACATGTTGAACTCAAATACCTGTACTTTCTACTTCTTACATGTTGAACTCAAATACCTGTACTTTCTACTTCTTACATGTTGAACTCAAATACCTGTACTTTCTACTTCTTACATGTTGAACTCAAATACCTGTACTTTCTACTTCTTACATGTTGAACTCAAATACCTGTACTTTCTACTTCTTACATGTTGAACTCAAATACCTGTACTTTCTACTTCTCACATGTTGAACTCAAATACCTGTACTTTCTACTTCTTACATGTTGAACACAAATACCTGTACTTTCTACTTCTTACATGTTGAACTCAAATACCTGTACTTTCTACTTCTTACATGTTGAACTCAAAT